CTCCCAAGTAGCTGGGACCACAGGCGCCCGCCACAACGCCTGGCTATTTTTTGGTTGCAGCTGTCATTGTTGTTTGGCGCCGGGCTGGATTCGAACTGGCCACCTTAGGTGTATGTGGCTGGCGCCTTAGCCACTTGAGCCACAGGTGCCGAGCCTACACTGTGTATTTTTAAGGTATATGACATGATGTTATGAGATTCACATAGGAAAAACGATACTATAGTGATGCAAATTAACATAGCCATCATCTCACCTGCCATTTTGTTTTTGTGGGAAGAACAGCATAAAGCTATTAATTTAGTGTGAATCCCATATACAATTTTGTTCCTACAGTCCTCATGTTGCACATTAGATCCTTAGACCTACTCATCTACATACCTTTTTATTTCTGACCTACATAATCCCATTTCCAATACCTCCACCTACCCAATATCCTTACCCCTGGTAACCACTATTTCTGCATATTTGAATTTTTTTTCCAGATTCCATGTATATGTGAGATCATGCAACAATATTTTTCTGTGTCTGGTGTATTTCACTTAGGATGATGTTTTTCAGGCTAATTCACGTGGAAAATGGCAAGACTGCTCTCTTTATAGGGCTGAATACTATATATTTATGTCTACAGATATAGATGTCTATATAGATATATAATTATACATACACACACACCACAGTTTCGTTTCTTTTCTTTTTTTTTGAGACAGAGTCTCACTCTGTTGCCTTGGGTAGAGTGCCATGGCATCATAGCTCACAGCAACCTCAAACTTCTAGGCTTGAGCAATTCTCTTGCCTCAACCTTCTGAGTAGCTGGGACTACAGGAGCTGCCACCCTGCCTGGCTAATTTTTCTATTTTTAGTAGTGACAAGGTCTTGCTCTTGCCCAGGGTGGTCTCAAACTCCTGAGCTCAAATGATCCGCCTGCCTCAGCCTCCCAGATTGATGAGATTAAAGGCATAAGTCATCTTACCCAGCCAGTACCACAATTTCTTTATCCATTCATCCATCCACACACACTTAGGCTGAGGCCAGGCGCTGTGGATCACACCTATAATCCCAGCACTTGGGAGGCTGAGGTAGATGGATTGCCTGAGCTCACGAGTTCAAGACCAGCCCGAACGACAGCAAGACCTCATCTCTAAAAAATATCTGGGCGTTATGGCGGGCACCTATAGTCCCAGCTACTTTGGAGGCTGAGGCAAAAGGATGGCTTGAACTCAAAAGTTAGAGGTTGCTGTGAGCTATGATGCCATGAGACAGGGTAGCCAGGGCAACAAAGTGAGACTCTGTGTTGGGGAAAAAAAAAAAGGCCACCTTAGGTTGTTTTCATACTTTGGTTATTGTTAATAATAGTACAGTGAACATGGGAGAACAGATATTTTCACAAGGTGGTGATCTCATTTTCTTTGGGTACATGTCCGGAAAAGAGATTGCTGAGTTATGGGGTAAAAAAAAAAAAAAAAAATTAAAAAGTGCAGAAGATATATTAAGGAAGAATAACAAAGTAATTTGGCTGGGAAAACCACAAGATTTTAAAAATAGAGAACAAGTATCATGTGGAAGTATATGATATATATAAACATGTTATAAATTATGTAATGTAATAAATAGTAGACATATAGGATAGTCTGAACATCAGAAGCATAAGAAAGTATATGGGGAAAAAAACTGGTAAGAAGCAGATGTTTTGTTTTTGTTTCTGAGACAGAGCCTCAAGCTGTCCCCCTGGGTAGAGTGCTGTGGCATAGCTCACAGCAACCTCCAACTCCTGGGCTCAAGCGAGTCCTCAACTCCTGCCTCCGCCTCCCAAGTTGCTGGGACCACAGGCGCCTACCACAACGCCTCGCTATTTTTTTTTTTTTTTGGTTGCAGCCATCATTGTTGTCTGGGGGGCCCGGGCTGGTTTCGAACCCGCCACCTTAGGTGTATGTGGCTGGCGCCTTAGCCACTTGAGCCACAGGCGCCGAGCCAAAGCAGATGTTTAAATGCAGGAATTTTCAGATGATGTTCTCTATAATCCTAGTCTCACAGATGTAAGTAAAATTTAGGTAAAGCCAAAGCTTCATTTAAAATTCTAAATTTTTGGATGGGCACCGCTCACTCCTGTAATCTTAGCACTCTGGGATTCCAAGGCAGGAGGATCACTTGAACTCAGGAGTTTAAGAACAGCCTGAGCAAGAGAGAGATCCTGTCTCTATCAAAAGAAGGAAAATTAAGCTCAGCACCTGTAGCACAGTGGTTATGGCACCAGCCACATACATCCAGGCTGACAGGTTCCAATCCAGCCTGGGCCAGCTAAACAACAACTACAACAACAACAACAAAATAGCTGGGTGTTGTGGTGGGCACCTGTAGTGCTAGTTACTCGGGAGGCTGAGGCAAGAGAATCACATTAAGTCCAAGAGTTTGAGGTTGCTGGGAGCTGTGACCCCCACAACACTCTACTGAGGCTGACACAGTAAGACCCTGCCTGAAAAAAAGAAGGAAAATTAGCCAGGTGTTGTGGTGGGCACCTGTAGTCCCAGCTACTTGGGAGGCTGAGGCAGGAGGATCATTTGAACCCAGGGGTTTGAGGTTGCAGTGAGCTAGGCTGATACCACAGCACTCTTGCCTGGGGCAACAGAGTGAGCCTCCATCTAAAAAAAAAAGTTAAGGGAAGAAAATCATTCACCCCATAGAAGAATTAGCTTCCCAATAACTCAGTAATCAGAATATAATTTACTTTTTTAAAAACAGCATGTATCGGCTTGGCACCTGTGGCTCAAGCAGCTAAGGTGCCAGCCACATACACCTGAGCTGGAGGGTTCAAATCCAGCCCGGGCGCCAAATTACAATGATGGCTACAACCCTAACATAGCTGGACGTTGTGGCAGGCATCTATAGTCCCAGCTACTTGGGAGGCGGAGGCAGGGGATTCGCTTGAGCCCAGGAGTTGGAGGTTGCTCTGAGCTGTGACGCCAAGTCACTCTACCCAGGGCAACAGCTTGAGGCTCTGTCTCGAAAAAAAAAAAAAAACACGATAGCATGTGTCATGATGTGGAACATTTTTCACTTGAGCACACATTTTATTCCAAGACTTTGTAAACCCTGTATCAATTCAGAAGAGAACCTGTATTCATACAGCTTGATAATGAGAATGGTGAAAGTCTGGAGTATGAGATTTGCCCCAGATTTGGATTTTTAGAAAAACTACACGTTAAAAGGATTTTTTTTTTTTAAAAGACAGAGTCTCACTTTATCGCCTTCGGTAGAGTGGCATGATGTCACAGCTTACAGCAACCTACAGCTCGTGGGCTTAGGCGATTCTCTTGCCTCAGCCTCCTAGTAGCTGGGACTACGGGCACCCGCCACAACGTCCAGCTATTTTTTTGTTGCAGTTTGGCCGGGACCAAGTTCGAACCCACCACCCGAGGGGCCGGCGCCCCTACTCACTGAGTCACAGGCGCTGCCCACGTTAAAAGGATTTACATTGAGATGTAAAGAGCCCAAGATTTAAAAAGGGAAAACCCTACTCGGGATAAAATGTTCTATGGAAGTATAGCACATGCCTTTAAAAAAATGTCCACATCCTGGCTCGGCGCCTGTGGCTCAAGTGGCTAAGGCGCCAGCCACATACACCTAAGGTGGTGGGTTCGAATCCCCAGCCTGGGCCCACCAAACAACAATGATGGCTGCAAACAAAAAATGGCCAGGCGCTGTGGCGGGCGCCTGTAGTCCCAGCTACTTGGGAGGCTGAGGCAGGAGACTCGCTTGAGCCCAGGAGTTGGAGGTTGCTGTGAGCATGATGCCATGGCACTCTACCCAGGGGGGATAGCTTGAGGCTCCGTCTCAAAAAAAAAAAAAAAAAGTCCACATCCTTTGATTTAGTAATCGCAGTTACAAGGAATTTTGTCTGAGTTAAAAAAAAATCAGAATTATAGAATAATACAAAGATGCTCTTTACAGAATGAGTTCTAACAATAACAAAAAAGCCCATACTTGATTAATATCCAATTAGTATGTTAAGTTAACAGTATAATTAAAGGATGAAACAATTCAGTTATCCAGAATATTTATAAAAAGCTATTAGAATATTGGGCTATTAAGATACAGGATTTAAAGATTTCGTGTTCAGAATGATCTTAACTCTATTTTTAAACGTTAATATTGTTACAAAATACCAAAAAGTTACTAGTAGTGTCTCTAGTACTAACAGCCTTAGTAGCAGTGCTGGCATTACAGGGATTTCTTTTCCTACTTAAATATACTTTATGAATGTTCTATAATGGGCGTTTAATGTGAACTGGGAAACAATTCAGAAACAATTTTATATTTAATAAAAGATGTCACTGAGGCTATCTCATGTGACTACTTAAGTCTGTATGAACGATACTGTAAGTTCTAGAGCGAAATTGTTCACCCTCAGTTTAAAACACCTGCAATTCCAAGGGTCAAACACCCGAGACACACCTGCAGCTTTCAGCGGCTGCGCACTGAGCAGCTGGAATAGCGCCCGGCCACACCCCGTCGTCCGCACGCTCAACCTTTGCCGGGTTCCCAAAGAGGAACCCGACTGACCATAAACTACTCCCCATTAAATCCGCTGAAATTAAGACTAGAGAAGTGTCACGTTCTTCTCTTTTCAACAAAGACCTTAAAGGGCAGTGACACTGCCATCCTTAGCTTCCCCAAACGCTTCTCCCTTAACGCCCACCCCAAACAAGGTCCTCAGGGAGCGCAGCTAGCGTGCGGACCGGGTTCCATCCCGCGGTCGCCGGGGCTGAAGGCTCCGCTGGGAAGCGGCGCTTACCCGGGCCCCCAGCGGGGGCTGTCATGGTGACGGACGTCCGACGTCCGCGCAGGCGCCGAGCGGCTGGCGTCCCGCTGACCTTCCGCGGGTGGCTGGAAACCTGACTCCACAAAGCGGCAGCTGCCCGGAAGAGCTCGGCCCGCAAGGCCTCCCGGGCGGAGCCTGCGGGACGCAGTCGTAAAGGACAGGGCGCGCGCGCGCGCAGAAGGAGCGTTCGAGTTTGGCTCGCGAGAAGCCCGCGCTGCGGGCGTCGGGAACTGTCCTTCCGAGAGGCTTAGTAGGGCTGTGGTCCTCCAGGTCAGCTCCAGTAACGCTGCTTTAGGGAATGCAGAGGCCGAGGATGACATCCCAAGATTGAAAGCGGCTGCTGATATGAACTTCCCAAGTTGGATATGTTTTCTTTTTAATTTTAGTGACATCCTCAAAGATACAGAGTCATTACTCCATAAAAAAGAGCGTTTCTGCTCAAGGATGCTGAGCTGATAGCGTGGAAGTTTTCTTTGCCATCCGTGTTCGCCCAGAACACACTCCCAGCACCTAGGTTCTCCCACCCACTGCCTTTTTGGCCTTCCTTAACTCTTTCCTGTTCTTACTTCAACCTGGTGCTGGAAAAAAAGAGTTCCGTGGATCAGACTGATCGGAATTAGCAACATGGCTCTGCCATTTTAAGTTCTGTAACTAATACAACTTAATTTGCCAGTTATAAAATTAGGACAAGAATTCATAGGGCCGGACGCGGTGGCTCACACCTGTAATCCTAGCACTCTGGAAGGTGGGGGGTGGTGGTGGATTGCTTGGGCTCTTGAGTTCGAGACCAGCCTGAGCAAAAGCGAGACCCCCGCGTCTCTACTAAAATAGAAAAAAAAACTGAGGCAAGAGGATTGTTTGAGCCTAAGAGTTGGAGGTTGCTGTGAGCTATGATGCCACAGGACTCTACCCAAGGCTGTAGCTTGAGACTCTGTCTCAAAAAAAAAAAAAAGAATACATTACCTGACACATAACACAAATGGTAGCTGTTCTCCTGGACCCTTCAGTTTTCGATATTTTTGAGTCTTTCTAGACCAGTGTTTTTCAACCTTTTTTTAAACAGCACGCTTGAACCTGTAGTTAAACTTCTATGGCATGCTTAAAGTATGTTGTTAAAGATTTAAAAAATCACTGTGCTTTGAACTTCTTTTGAAAGACTCTAATGATCTTTAAAATTTTCATGGCACACGGGTTGAAAACTATTCCTAGACTAAGGATGTAATTTTTTTTTTTTTAGACAGTCTCACTATGTCGCCCTCTGTAGAGTCCTCTGGCGTCACAGCTCACAGCAACCTCAAACTCTTGGGCTTAAGCCATTTTCTTGCCTCAGCCTCCCAAGTAGCTGGGACTACCGACATCGGCCATAACATCCATTTTTTATTGTACTTGTCATTGTTCTTTAGCAGGCCAGGCCAGGCATGAACCCAGTGTATGTGGCTGGCTCCATAACCACCTGAGCAACAGGTGCTGAGTTAGAGATGTAATTATTTTAATCAATCCTAAATCATGCCTTTATGTTCTTTAGATGTCTTCTAGCTCAGGTTTCTTTTTTTTTTTTTTTTTTTTTTGAGACAGAGCCTCAAGCTGTCCCCCTGGGTAGAGTGCTGTGGCATCACAGCTCACAGCAACCTCCAACTCCTGGGCTCAAGCGAGTCTCCTGCCTCAGCCTCCCAAGTAGCTGGGACCACAGGTGCCTGCCACAATGCCCAGCTATTTTTTGGTTGCAGCCATTATTGTTGTTTGGCGGCTGGGCTGGATTCGAACCCGCCACCTTGGGTGTATGTGGCTGGCACCTTACCCGCTTGAGCCACAGGCGCCCAGCCCAGAATGTTTATTGTAGCCCCTCCCTTTTTTTAGAGACAGAATCTCACATGTTGCCCCTGGTAGAGTGCCATGGTGTCACAGCTCACAGCAACCTCCAACTCCTGGGCTCAAGCGAGTCTCCTGCCTCAGCCTCCCAAGTAGCTGGGACCACAGGTGCCTGCCACAATGCCCAGCTATTTTTTGGTTGCAGCCATTATTGTTGTTTGGCGGCTGGGCTGGATTCGAACCCGCCACCTTGGGTGTATGTGGCTGGCACCTTACCCGCTTGAGCCACAGGCGCCCAGCCCAGAATGTTTATTGTAGCCCCTCCCTTTTTTTAGAGACAGAGTCTCACATGTTGTCCCTGGTAGAGTGCCATGGTGTCACAGCTCACAGCAACCTCCAGCTCTTGGGCTTAGGTGATTCTCTTGCCACAGTCTCCTGAGTAGTTGAGACTACAGGCACCTGCCACAAAGCAGGTCCAGTTTCAGTCCTGTACAGGTCACCAGCCAGTTCACCCAGCACCATTTGTTAAATAGGGAGTCTTTCCTCCACTGAATATTTTTGATAAGCTTGTCAAAGGTCAAATGACGATAAGTAGCTGGGTTCATCTCTTGGTTCTTGATTCTGTTCCATAAATCTACTGCTGTGTTTTTGTGCCAGTACCATGCTATATAGCCTGAAGTCTGGTAATGTGATACCTCCTGATTTGTTCTTCTTTCTTTCTTTTTTTTTTTTTTTATTAAATAATAGCTGTATACATTAATGCAAACATGAGGTATAGGGTAGTGTTTTCATATACAATTTGAAATATTTTCATCAAACTGGTTAACATAGACTTTGTGTCATTTACTTAGTTATTGTGTTAAAACATTTATACTCTAGTTCTAGAAAGGTTCACTTGTACCCTTGTCAGACAGACCATATAGGTGATCTTTCCATTTTGTTCTTATTTCCGAGTAATGTATTTGCTATTCGAGGTTTTTTCTGATTCCATATAAAACAAAGTACTATTTTTTCAGGTTCTTTAAAGTATGACAATGGTGCTTTAATAGGGATTGTATTAAATCTGTAGATTGCTTTGGGTAGTATGGACATTTTAACAATGTTGATTCTTCCCAGCCATGGGCATGGTATGTTTTTCATTTGTTAACATCTTCAGCTATTTCTTTTCTCAGAGTTTCACAGTTCTCTTTATAAAGATATTTCACATCCTTCGTTAGGTAAATTCCCAGATATTTCATCTTCTTTGGCACTGTTGTAAAAGGAATAGAGTCCTTGATTGTTTTTTCAGCTTGACTACTTTTGGCATATACAAAAGCTGCTGACTTGTAAGTATTGATTTTGTGTCCTGAGACACTGCTGTATTCCTTGATTGCATCTAAGAGTTTTGAAGTTGAGACCCTGGGATTTTCCAGGTATAAGATCATATCATCAGCCAAGAGTGAGAGTTTGATCTCCTCTGACCCTGTTTGGATACCGTTGATCACCTTCTCTTGCTTGATTGCAATGTCTAAGACTTCCATTACTATGTTGAATAGCAGTGGAGACAGTGGGCATCCTTGCCTCATTCCTGATCTGAGTGGAAATGTTTTCAATTTTACACCATTCAATATGATATTGGCTGTGGGTTTGCTGTAAATGGCCTCTATTGGTTTAAGAAAAGTCCCTTTCA